TGGCTCCCCACTGCTCTCGGGGTCAGAGGAGACCTCGTCGGTCCCCGAGAGCCCCAGACCTGCATTCACGTGCTGGCCCTCGTCTCCCACTCTCCCGCGCCCCCTTGGGACTGCAAAGTTCAGCGCTCGAAACTCCGTGTAGCAATGGGACATGCGTCCCCTGTCCCTCTGCTGCCCGCGCCAGGCTCCCTGGCTGAGACCCCCCCGACGGCCCTCCGACCCGAGGCCAAGCGCGGTGTGCCCTGGGCTCCTTCTCCGCCACCTCCTCTCCGTCTCCTTGTCTGCTTTCTTCTAAGGGACTTCGAAGTCGCTGGGGGTGAGGACGAGGTCTGTCTGTAGTTGTCTCCGTGCCAGCCTGAACAGGGGGCTTCAGAACGTTCCCGGAGAAGGCAGGTTATGAAGGAACTGCGTGGACTTCCAATGTTTTGCACCAAAATGTACTTGTTCTTCACTCCATCCCTGCAAACCTTGTGGAGTTCGCTTACACCTAGAATTAATACACATTTATGGGATCCGCATGCAGAAATGGCCCAGAAGGCTCCTTACTCTCCGCCCACAGAAAGCTCCCTTAGTAATAATTAACGAGCAAAAGGCTGTATTCGAAACCAAAGGCTCTGTGTCAGTTTTTTTCTTAGAAGCAAACAAATCTGATCTTTCTCATGATACCAAACTCGCATCTTACAACTCCTGGAAAATTGTACCTTTCCCCCGACCTAGCTCATGACCCGTGAAGACAACGCGCATCTAGGCTTCAGCAGTCTGCCTCGTGGGGCAGGGCCTCGGGGCTGGCTGAGCGTTGTGGGGTCCTGCAGAGGCAGAGCAGTGGGCGCACAGAGGCAGAGGCCAGCCTCGTGGCCAGGGTGTGGCTGCACGGGCATCCGTGCCCGTTCCTGGAGCAGAGAAGGTCTACCATTCTCTGCCTTCATTTTTCCTCTGTTTTGAAAGTCTCCATTAGTTTTAACACACTGATTTTCTTTCCCTTTTAAAATGTTCTGTAAATGCAGTAATGGCGGCAGTGTTTGATTGGACGGGAGAGCATTGATTTTGACATGCGATATGGTCTTCTCACCTTCAAGCTGGGACGTCAGAGCCTGGCCCCCCTTTTGGGGGCTGATCCTGAAGTGATGGTTCAAGCATTTCCTAAGGGGCCCAGCAGGAGCCATAGTGGTTAGGGCACTGGTCTCTCTCGTGGTCGACTACAGTTCAAGTCCCAGACCCAGTGGTTTGAAACGCTGAATGCGTGTGTATGTGTGCCCAAAATCCAGAGAGGAGAGTGGAGGAGGAGGGATTGTGGTGTGGCCGATTTCTCACTTTCTGTCTCTTTCTGTCTCTCCCGTGAGCACATGCACCCTATAGCAAAAAAATCTCTCCAAAAAAAAAAA